GCAGCAGCAGGTGCCGCAACAGCAGGTTCCGCCGCCGCCGCCGCCGCAGCAGCAGCAGCAACAGCAACAACAACCTCAACCCCCAAGGCTTCCCGGAATTTCGCTTCCGCCGGAAGGCAGCCCGAGCAACGGTGCAGGGGCCGCCGCGGCCGCGGCCGCCGTGGCGGCTGCCTCTACGGCCCCCCCCGTCCCTGCCGGCGCCGCCGTTGCTGTTGCTCCCCCCGCCCCGGGCCTCGCCGTTGCGGGGGGAGGGCCGAACGGCCCGACTTCGCCCTCCCCGGGGGCAGCGAAGCGTGCCAGCCCCAAGAGCGGGGGTGTGAAGCCTAGGCACAAAGCCGGCGGCGTCCGCCCCATAGCCGACCTGGTCCTGCCGAGCGGCGCGGCGCAGCTCTCTCTCGAGGCTCGGGCCGGGGCCTACCGGAGGGCGCAGGAGGCCGCCGCCGCGGGGATGGCGGCGGCTAGGGCTTTTGTGGAGGGAGAGTACCCTACGGACGGCAACGGCGAGTTTCTCTCGGCGAAGTCCACCGCACTGCCAACGGGGCAGGGCGCGACGGCAGCGCCTTCGGACAGCGCCTCGGCCGCCGCGGCGGCCGCGTCAGCCGGCGGGGGCCTGCCCTCGGCTTTGTCCTCCCCGGCGGCTTCGCCAGCGGGGGCGGCGGCGAGTGCTTCTCTTGCCACCGCCATGGACACCACCGCGGCGGCTGGGGGGGCCGTTGCCGCGCCTAATACCTCGGCGCCGCCTGGTTCGGCGGCGGGCCCTCCGCCCCCCGCGGCTGTCGGCGCTCCTTCCACGGCGACAGAGGCAGATCAGCAGCAGCAGCAGCTGCTGCAAAAGGCTGGCGCTCCAGCCCCACCCCAGCACCCGCCAGCAGCAGGATCAGGAGCTGGAGCCCCCTCGCCGGCGCCTCACCCGGGGATGCCCCCCCAGGGCATGGCGCCGGGCATGGGCGTGCCGATGGCCTACCACCCACAGTACGGCATGTACTCACCGTACCCGCAGTCGCTGTACGCGGCGTACCTCGCGCAGTACCAGCTCCAGCAGGGGGTCAACCCGTACGAAGGGATGAGTATGAACCCTTACGAAGGCATGAACCCTTACGCCGGCATGAACCCCTACGCCGCCGCCGCCGCCGGCGCTCCGGGTGCTTCGGGAGCGCCCAGCCCGGCCACCACGACAAGCCCCGCAGCGGCGGGTGCTGTCGCGACGTCCGCTCCGGCCGGGGGCGCGACTGCTGCCCCCCCAGCAGGCGGTCCTGCCCCCCCCGCGGTGAGCGGGGCCCCCGCTCCTGGCGCCGGCGCCAAGCCCGTGCAAGGAATACCCGCTCTCCCGGGCGTCAAGGGATTGGCCCTTCCCCCGGCTGTCGCCGCCGCCGCTGCTGCCGCCGCCGCCGGTGAGAAGCCACGGCGAAAGGAGAACGAGGACGCGAAGCAGGTGAGCGGGGGGGGGGCTTGAACTGCTGCAACAGCGGCAGGTACTGTTAGACCTCGAGATTACATTTTTTTTGTTGGCCAAAAAGGTTTCCGTGGTCGGTAGCCCAACAGACGTACAGTCAGTTCAAAGCAACCAATCAACGCTCCCGAAAACAGGCTACAACGTCACCAAAACGCTGAAAAGACACGATTCCACATGTAAAATTTGTCATAACACCAAAGTGTACGACGTTCCTGCACACCAGGTGTAACCGTAGCGTTTTTGGAGAATGACTCTGCGTGCTTGCTATTGTGTAGACTGGTAGAGTTCGCGCGCGCAGCATGGGCCTTGTTTCTTGTTTCTTGATTCTTGTTTTACAAGCATCTTGCGTCGACAAGTAGAGTTGTGTCGATGCTCGAGTTTGTCTCCCAAGCTCAAGGATTGCTGACATGCTGCTAGTGCTTATGTCCCAGAACTTACATGGTATTTGTCTTCATCGTCTACGAAACTGGTAAAGCCGACGTTCATCCTTCGCTTGAACCACGTCCCGTCCAACGCCGCCGGCCGCACACGCATTTTGTAAACATGACAGCTTGCCGTAGAAACCCTCCTCGGGCTCAAGAACTCGCAAGGCTCTAAGGGCGGCGGTCCGATGGACGAAGCTTCGGCCCAGGCGGTGGTTGCCGCCGCAGTCGCCGCCGCGGCCGACGCCACCGACGGGAGTGCTGCCTCGGCAGCCGCCGCCGCGGCCCTGACCGCGCAAGCGGTC